GTACTTGATTGACATCCTGCCTGGCCCCGCGTCCCCTACCAGCATCACTTCAGACACCTGTCCTAAGTCATGTCTACTAGACATACTACTTTTATTTTCTTTATTGAGAAAGGTTTTCCTACAGCCCAGGCTGGCCTTGTACTTGTTCCATAGCAGTGGATGACCTTGAATTTCTGATCCTTCTGCCTCCATCTCCCAATTGTTCCAGTGAAAACTGTGTACCTGCATGGCTGGTTTAAGGGGTGCTGGGGATGGGACCCACAGCTTTGTGCATGCTAGATCAGAACTCTGCTAAATGAGCTAACACGTAGCTACACTGCAGACACCTGGGTGGACATAAGTTAAATCTCTTTCCCCCTGACTTCCTAGTCCTCCCTTGTCCTCTTTTCTGCAGTCTGTCCAGCCCTGGAATACGGGATTGCTGGGGAGTTCCTGCCTAGCGTCAGAGCTCTGTACACTCAAGAGGAGACATGCAGTCTTCCTGCTGACCTAGGCACCTTCATCTGGAAGCCACAGTTAATCTTTCCCCTTCCTCAAGGCCTGCATGGCTCTACTTCCTTTGATACCATTTCCTGTTGTCCACAACCACAAGGTCTCTCTGCAGACAAGTCTCCTCCTATACCCCCCGGGGAAACTAAACTGCAAAGGCTCTTCTTTCCAAACAAAAGCTTTATTGTTTCCTCCTGGTAGGAGATGCTCCCAGCCAAAGCGGGTCCTGCCCCAGTCAGTCAAGGGGGTCAGTCGTCCTTCCTTCTGTAGATCAGTGTCCCCTGCTACCTAACCACTCTATATCAATCTGGGTGGTTAACATATATCTCAAGCCTAACAAACTCAAAAGAAACCTCTTCAGTTGCCCAGGTCTAAAAGCCTCAGAGACAGTGCCATTGCTTTTTCTCATTTAGCATTCAATCATCCAGAGGCTCTTGGTACACTTCCCTAAATACATCCAGAGCTGTGTTTCCAACCCGGTCCGAGGCACCAGATTAATCTCAAGATTACTGGCTTTCCCAATAATCAAGCCATAGGTGTTCCTGTCCTTTGTACCTGTACTGTACACTCCCTCCGTCTTCCATGTGATAGTGCCTTGTTCTCTCCCGAACCCCCTCTCTCTTCCCTGGGGGTTATATCTAAACAAATGGAACCTGCACATCCAGTACCTAATTTATGAGACAGACTCTCACCACATAGCTCAGGCTGGTCTGGAACTTGCTACTTGGACTCATGGTCCTTTTGCCTCCTGGGTGCTGAGATTGCAAGCACACCACCTTGTTTGTCCTTACTCTGGTTTTCCAGCTGGAGTGGTCTGGTTAAAATACCACCTCATGCTGGACTAATCCTAGCACTCAGGAGGTAGAGGCAGGTAGAGCTCTATGAGTTCAAGGCCAGCCTGGTCTACAGAATAAGTTCCAGGGCAGCTAGAATTATATAGTGAAACCCTGTCTTGCAAGGACCCAAATAAATAAATAAAAATAAAATATACGCCACCTCATGAAATCCCTCTGCTCAGAATGGTCCACGTGGGTCCTGTCTCATCCGAGGAAAGTCACCTTCCAGATGTTGACAAAGCTCTACATGGCCTGGTGGCTGCTGCGGCTCAAGAGCCAGCACGCCAGGGAAACCCTTGTTTGCTTGGGTCACCATCAGGGGTCTTCCTCAGTTCACCTCGTATCCAAATTTATAAGGCATCAACCTCACACAGTACCGGAGTCCTTGACAGACAGTGCTAGAGCGGCTGCGAGTGTGCATCGCTGCACTGAGCTTGCCTTTTGGGGAAATCTTCGCGACTACAGGTGGAGTGGTCCACTCTGCTTTCTGCGCGCTTCTCCCGCCATCTTGTCAGATGGATACGGCAGAACGGAAGCTGTACCTCTTGGAAGCCAGCAGACAAATGCTTCCCCAAATCACACAAGTCCATCTATACGGCTCGTGACCAGGCAATTATTGCTCTCTCAGCTCAGACAAAGCTGGCCAAATCAGTGCTCACTTAAACCATAAGCAATGGTGCCAGGTAATGTGAGAGTTAAAACCCTCCCTGTACCCAGTCTCCAGGGGAATGAAGGAAGGATGAAGAGAAGTCGTAAAACTGCCGGAAGTGAAGGGTCTAGCGTCCCACATCCCTGCACCCTTGTTTGCGCTTTTAGCCTGGAGTGCTCCAGCCCAGTGGCCTGTTCCTGCCCATCTCCAACCATTTGGCCCAAAGCCACACTTCCCGACTTCCCCTGGCGTCTCCTCCCACCCGAGTACCTCGGTTTTCATTTCTCTATTGTCTTTCTTGCATTCTAATTTTTCCAAGAGTTCCTTTTTATCCGTCATTTCATTTCAGTGCCTGTGGTTTTGAATGCCCACAGTCAATTATGGTCCTAAAATATTAAATGGAAGTTTTTAGAAATAATTGATTCATACATTTTTAAATTGCTCTCTGTGCTGAGTAGTGAGATATTAGTCACTTAGTAACTGTCTTGGTTTACAGAGTGGCCGTGGGGGCATCCCGGCACTTGCCTTCCTATAACCCGTATTTTAATGGTGACCTCCGAGCACCAGGAGTGAGGATCTGGGCAGGCAGACAGCCTCAAGAGAAACTCCGATTTAACAGGGAAGAAGAAATGATCAGCGGAGGCTGCTAAGATCTGTGTAGTGTAAGAACAGAGAAGTATCAGCATTGCTAGTGTCCTTTCCAAACACTAGAGGTCTTGGAGCGGTTCTATCGCCCCCTGTGTACAATTTACTCACTGATGTTATTTGTTTTCTTCCTTCCTTTCCCTGTAGAGTGTGTGGGAGACTTCATACTGTTTGTAACTTTTAGTTTTTAGCATGTGCGCTCTGGCATGCGCCACAGGCACAGGACAGTCTTCTAGAAACACTATTCTTCCCTCACCATGTGGGTTCTTAGGATCCAACTCTGGTGGTCAGGTTTTGTAGCAAGTGCCTTTGTGTGCTGAGCCATCTTGCCAGCCTGGGGCTTCTTATCTTTTATTTTTACTTCCTTCATTGGTAATTTTTAGTAGAGCAGAGCCTGGTGCACGGTAATGTGTTCTTCAACAGTTATTCTATGTATGAATAAATCTATATTTTTCTCCCTCTGATTTAGACTTTAGCTTCTTTATGGTATTCTTTCCTGAGTAGGTGGGGAGGAGGGAAGCATGTTTTGTTTTGAGACAGAGTTTCATGTAGCTCAGGCTAGCCTGGAACTCATTCGTTGCTGAGGAGGACCCTGACTCTGCTCCTGGTTCCAAGTGCCACCAGGTTAGTAGCAAAACGTGCTTATTGCTTTAGTGAAGCACAGCAAGTGTGGTATTAGGGACTAGGAACAAGGACTCTGGATTCAAATGGCTTCCGTTACGACAAGGGCTGTGCTGCCAGCTGGGCAGCCTTTCTTCAACCTCTGTGTACTTAGGATAAGAACAGCTTCTGTCTTAGACTTGGTTAGAGGAAGGAACGAGCTCATCATGATGACCGGCACACAGGCAATGTTAGGATACACTTAATGACTCACGATACCAGTCCTCAGAAGGCCTTCATTTCTACACTGTACTGTTAGAGATTTGTCTCTTCCCACTTCCTCCAGGTGTTCTCCCTGAAGGTCCCACCCACCCCCAGCCTCTAACTTCCATCCACTTATCCAACCCCTGAAACTGAGATTTCCTTTCTTTAAAGACTTGTTTATCTTATGTATATGAGTGCTCTATTTGCATGAACACCTGAATGCCAGAAGAAAGCATCAGATCCCATTACAGATGGTTATGAATCACTGTGTGGTTGCTGGGAATTGAACTCAGGACCTCTGGAAGAGCAGCTAGTGCTCTTAACTGATGAGCCATCAATCCAGCCCTGAAACTAAGACTTCTAAGAGTCCAGATGTTACTTTCTCTCCTTGGTCTGTGAGTTAGTGGAGAGCTGCCCACTGTTGTTACTCACAGCTTCCCTGAGCGTGGGCCCCTCCTGTTCTCCACCTGGCCTTACAGCTCTCATTTCTCCTCCAAGAGCTCTTAGGTGCTGCTCCTGACATCTTTTCCCTCAGCACCTTCTCCCTGGATGATTGCATGCACAGGCACTGCACTGGCGTCCACCCTAATGACATCTGATCCGAGAGTTTCCCAGCAATGCTATGTTCTTTCTCACAGATTAGATTAGATGCCTCTCCTCTCCCAGTACCTTCTCTCTCTGCTCCAGCTCCAAGCCTCTACTTAGTCCATTCTCCAGTTTTTAATGCAACTATTACCGTCTTCTCATTTCTAAGCTAAGCTGAGTTCCTCTGCACTTCTGACCTGTGGAGCTGGAATCATGCTAAGTCTTGTTGGCTTGCCTGGCAGCTTAGTTTCCCACAGCCATTAGCTCCAGTCAGTCCCTAGGTCCTTCAAGTGTGGTGCCTGGCACAGTAACAGGTATGAAGATCTATCTGGATTTGATACATGTTCACATGGCTTTTATACAGAATGTATCTGTGATTGAGTTACATTTTAACTCAGTACTAAACACTGAGTACATCATGGCATCTCACCAAAATATTAATTCTCCCAGAAAAACTTCGGTTCAGGCATGAGAGGCAAAGAAAGGCAAAAAGCTGTATTGGACAATGGAGGCGGAACTGTGAATGCATGCTGTAGCGTACTTCAATGTGAAGGCAATGAAAGATGAGGGGCCCATTTTGATGTTAATGGCATCAAATATTACTTGAGTGAGTGGCTTCTCTGAATTCTTCGAAGCACAGCACCAACAGGAAAGTTGAGCAAATGAGTTTTCAGGCTCCCTGTCATGGTGACCAATACCACATACACATGGGGAAGATGGCTTAATGCAATACTCCCTGCCATACAGCCAGCATTCCTTTCTCCTCTCTCCTGTGTACAGTGCCCACCCCACTCTATACAATGCTGGGGACTGAACCCAGGACCTCACGTGGTCTAGGCATGTCCCAACAGCAAGACGCATCCTCAGTCCAGAAGAGCTAGATCTTAAGCCTCACTGCTTGGATCTCGGTCCTCTGTGGGTGGGGCACTTACCTGTAAGGTACAGCCAAACACTCCGATCATCAGCATGGCCACCGAGAGGTAATCCGTGAACACATCCCACCACGGCTTCAGCACCCGGAAGGCAGGCTGCTGCTCGGAGAACTGTCGGAACTCGGTCACTGGAATCATGTTTCTGAGAAAGGAGAGAACCCTGTGAATTAGCTTTTCTTGAGCTATCACATGGGGCTTTTTTTTTCTTTTAAAAGCACTTGAGATGCGTTTGTGAACCCTTAAGAATAGAGTCTTCTGAAGCCACAGGGCTGCCAAGATACAGTGTTCCCCACCAATGACGGATGAGCAGTGGAAGAAATGGAGAGAGTCACTCACAGCTGGGTGACTGTGGTATGCAAGCTCCCTCTGTGCTCCTTGGATTTAGTCAGATCCAGGTATTTCCTGGATCCTCAGTTCCCTCAAGCATGAAGATGCCACAGAGACCTGGTCCATCTTTTGAAGTGTCTTTGCTGTTTTGTGCCTTCCCAGCTGCGGCTCTAGTGCGCATGCCGTTTCTGTATCCCCTGTTACTGCTTTTCTGGGACCTGTTTGTGGGTTCTTCACTTACTCCTCAGGGAAGCAGAAGCATGTGGCTACATGGCCATTGTTTTTTAGCAGTAGATGGTGTCTGCATGTGTATGTGTGTTATTTTATCCCACTTTTTCCCTTCTGAGAAATCAGTTTGCCCTGTAAACTTGCTACAGTTTGCATAGGTGTTCCCCAGAGGCCACATGTTAATGCAGGTACAGCCTCCAGGCTGTGATGCTTCTGAGAAAAGAAGACCTTAAAGAGGTCAGGCCCAGTGGAAGGAAATTAGGTCACTGGGAGTGTCCCTTGAAGGAAACACCTGGAGATCAGTGCTTGCTTCTCTCTCGGCTTCTCTCTCAAGGCCACACACGTACTGTTGGCCATGTATTCCTGCCTAGATGCCATTCCTTGTAAAGACCCCACAGCAGCAGGCAAACACACGACGGGTCCAAGTGTTGAAGATCAGGAACCAAAGGAAACCTTTGGCTTTTAATGCTGGTTTATCCCAGGTGTTATTCCACCCCCACCCCCTCCCCCGAAAGCCCAGGGACTGTGGGAGAGGAGGGTGGGGAGACAGGAATTCTGTCAAGCTCTGTTTTATTGATAGGATATGGAGTTTACAACTATGAGCACATGGATACTGCACATGACCTGAACAAGACTGGGCCCTGTGACATTCCACTGTGAATCAGGGCAGGGTTTTTGAGGCCCATGTCTGTCTGGAAAGCTTTAGGAGTTATTGGTTTCTGGAGACAGACACTAAACCAAGGTCCTCTGTAAGAAAAGCAAGTGCTCCTAAGTGCTAACAATGCCTCTCCAGTCCCTCCCCCAAATATTTTTAAAGCTTCCGCTACAACAGCTGATTGAATACACAGGGTACAGCTGAGGTCCTGGGGAAGAGAACTGTTCTCACAGCCTTAAGTGTGACCCGGGACTCCTGCGAATTTGTTGGTGGCCGTAGCTTTGGAAAGTAGCATAATGTTTTTGTTTGATTGATTTTTCTGTCTTACTGCTTTACAACTCTTCCTTTTATTTACGTGTTTTCTTGTTTTTTTGTTTTTATTTTTATTTATTTATTGTTTTTGAGGCAGGGTCTCTCTACATAGCCCTGGCTGTCCTGGAATTCACTATATAGACCAGACTGGTTCTATATTCACAGAGATTTGCCTGCCTTTGCTTCAGCAGTCCTGGGACTAAAGGTGTGCACCACCACACCAGCTCTAACTGTTTCTTAAACAATAATTTGCCTTTACTGTTGAGTTTATTCTTTAATAGCATTGGAAATTTCAGCCCTCAGCCCTTATGACCCGTCTCCTTACATGTGAGCAGCATTGCTGTGGTTTTTCCATCTTACCGAAACACAATTCCATGCTAACTCCCCTAGGAAGGCCCCATCAGCAGCTTCTTGAGAGCCTATTACATCATGCATGTCTGTCTGTCCTAGTTTGCCTTCTACCGTTCTTATGAACACCAGGAGTAAAGGCGACTTGGGGAGGAAAGGGTTTATTTGTCTGACCTGTCCTGATTACAGCCCATCTTTGAAGGAAGCCAAGACAGAAACTCAAGCAGGGCAGGGTCCTGGAGGCAACAACTAAAGTAAAGACCATGGAGGAACCCTGGTTGCCGGTTTTCTCCCCATGGCTTGCTTAGCTTGTTCCTTTGTACAACCCACGGTCACCAGTCTGGTACTCTCTCCTCTTGGATAACTCTAGCTTGAATCTCGTGGACGGAAGCTAACCAGCAGCAGCATCCATGCTTCAGACAATCACTCACGCTCACCGGATCATGTCAGTCATTCTAGAACACGGGGCTGGCTCACACCTTTTGGCCTTTGTCTCAATGAAGCATGACAGTTTCAACTGCCTTCGATATGCTGCTGTAACCTGTGGGACACAGCTGCAGACAGGCTGTGATTTCCAGGTTCTGGTTCAGAGGTGGCTAGTTTGTGTGGCATTCCTAAGAGCACCATCATTGCTGTACACTGAGAAGCTCTGGGCCATTGTTGGAGACATAGATGGATTCAGATGCTCGTTCGCCTGGGGTAGCCTGGGGTAGCGATGCCAGCTTCGCGGACAGGGGTCACTGTGTTGCTCAGAGGCTGCTGTTCTCTCATGGCTTTGGTTGTCTCACAAGTTCTTCTAACCTCTAAAAGAACTGGGCTTGCTTACTAATCAGCAGACAATGTCAAGAAGAGAAAATGGCTTCGTGGAGCAGTGGGCTCAGTCCTCATGCTCTCCCTCAAAACTGTGGGATCCTAAAGTGTGTGCTATGCTCTTAAATAGCTAACCTCAGAAATGGGAAGAATCAAAAAAATTGTGAAAATGAATGATATAAAAATATTGGTTATACAGAAATGAATGTTTCTCATGAAAATAAAAAACCCATAAATTCGAAAATGAAAAATTGATTACACTTTAACATAGATTATGAAAAATCAGATGTTCATTCAAAACACGAAAAGAAGGCATTATTTTACACTTCTGCAGATCTCTCCAATATTAAAATAGAGCCGCCATCTGGATTCTCAGGTCTGGTCTGAAGCCAGTGCTGTGACATGCTGTTTGGATTAGATTGAATGAGACTGAACACAGACTCACAAAGGTATGAGGTCAGAAATGCAAAGACCACGTGAGCGGACTTCCGTGTCATGTGGATATTTACCTCTGAGACCTCGACAGTTAGTTGCAGCATGGACAATAGAGAGGTAGCAGTGAGCTTCACTGGGAATGCTTCTCTGGAGCTCCCAAGAGTATCTAAGGCAATGGGCATGAGCTGGTGGCTGGGGCTATAACAGAGCAGACTGAAAGGTTTGACCATGGGTGAGCTGCTGTCTCTCTTGGGGTTTACCCAGCTGTAGGCCCTTCATCAGCCAGATGTGGCCAATGGAGAGGCATCAGCTGATCTGCTTGCAGGCAGGCAGCCGCCCAGATCACCAGGCATGATGGCCAGGTAAGCAGCAGCCCTGACTGACAGGTTGGTGGAGCCAAGGAGGCAGACAGCATCCTTCCCTCCCTTTAGGCCAAGTCAGCTCCACCAAGTTCATCAGAGGTGGGGAATGAAGAGGCTCCATGAGTGCCCGGGATGAGGAAGCCAGCTATTAATAGGAACATATGGAATGTTTTTATGTTCAGTTAAACCTGGGTAATGTTTTACTTTACTATCTTCTTAGTTACAGACTTCTGAGATCAACTGATGCTTGACTGGCATAAATAGGAATGGACTGTTGCGATTTCATCAAAGTTAGCTTTACAACTACACAGTGTTTCACAGATGGTGGCCCAGGACCTTGCTTTGCTATTCTGCCAATCTTTTGTAAAAGGTTTCATTGTGGGACTGGAGAGAATGGCTCAGCAGTCAAGAGCAGAGCTCATCTTCCAGAGAATGGTTCCCAACACCCACACCCTAGCTCCCAACTGTTAACTCCAATTCTTAGGGATCTGGTGCCCCCTTATGGCCTTCTAGGGTACTGCACACATGTGGTACATATACATACTTGCAGATAAAAGACCCATACCACACAATAAGCAAGAAACTGTCTTTATACAGAGGGCACAATGCTAACTTCTGAGTGTTTTTGAGGTCTAAAAAACTCCTTGAGGGATATGCATGTTTACCTAAAGGAACAGAGTTAAGAAGACACCTTACAAAGGGAACAGGGCTAGATGCAACTGTGAAGTTCTGGGGAACCTTATGGTTGGGTAAGGCCCAGATGAAACCCACCAAGGAGATTGGAAAATCCTGTGACAGCCAATATTAAAGAGTGAGCAAACATTTTCCGTGTGGGTGGGAAAGGATTCTCCCCTAAGCCACAGGGTTGTTGGCCGAGGATCCCAGTGCTTGGACTTGGTTATCTTCCTAAGAGTTGTTGGCCAATGAGACCCTAGAGGCCCCCAAAGGCTAAAGGCCACCAACTTCCAACAGTGCCATAACTGGACCCTGTTGCTAAAGATACCACATGTTTTGGTTGCAGGCTTGGAGAAATCCAGCTTGAACTGAACCCTCCCTTGAGGTTAGCTTTTATCACACCAGGATGTGCTACTGAGGTGTCTGAGGAAATAATAGCCCAAAGCACTAGTCAGCTGGGTGTTTACAGGCATTGAAAGCTGTCTAAGAGACACACAAATGTACCCACCCAAAGGGGCAAGGTTGGGAAGTCACCTCAGACAGCGAAAGGATGCAGGGCCCAGGGGCCATGGAAGTTCTGGTTAGTGCAACAGTGGTTTCAAGTGTTATGGATGCAGTCAACATTGGACTTAATCCCCATTCTACAAGGGGAAATGTCACACCCAGTACCGTGAGCTTTGACAGAAAGCTGTGGTCGAGGAAGTCACGGTTGTCTCTTTGGAAGAGCATGATGCACTGCCTCAGGTGCTTTGCAAGAATTTGTGTTTATGCTCACGGGTTATTTCTAGTGTCAGTTTCCATTCAAGTGTCTTTCCATTTCTCATTTCCCTGCTTTCCTATGTTCTGTAGGAGAAGGACTTCCTTTGAGGCTTACTACCAGCCTTAATCTAGAGATGGAAGACACAGGGTCCCCAAGGCGAGTTGAGAATAGTCATCAGATCTGTGTTGTCCACTCCAAGGCTCAGGAACTGTCATTGAGGAGAGGAGTGG